ATGCATCTTGGACGTAAAAACCCAAGGGCAGAGTACAGAATATTTCATAGAGTCCTAACCTCAACAATTGAGGAAAGGGATTTAGGGGTGATTATTTCTGATGACTTAAAGGTAGGCAGACAATGTAATAGAGCAGCAGGAAATGCTAGCAGAATGCTTGGTTGTATAGGGAGAGGTATTAGCAGTAGAAAGAGGGATGTGCTCATGCCATTGTACAGAACACTGGTGAGACCTCACTTGGAGTATTGTACAGTACTGGAGACCGTATCTTCAGAAGGATATTGATACCTTAGAGAGGGTTCAGAGAAGGGCTACTAAACTGGTTCATGGATTGCGGGATAAACTTACCAGGAAAGGTTAAAGGATCTTAACACGTATAGCTTGGAGGAAAGACGAGACAGGGGGGATATGATAGAAACATTTAAATATATAAAGGGAATCAACACAGTAAAGGAGGAGACTATATTTAAAAGAAGAAAAACTACCACAACAAGAGGACAAAGTCTTAAATTAGAGGGACGAAGGTTTAAAAATAATATCAGGAAGTATTACTTTACTGAGAGGGTAGTGGATGCATGGAATAGCCTTCCAGCTGAAGTGGTAGAGGTCAACACAGTAAAGGAGTTTAAACATGCGTGGGATAGGCATAAGGCTATCCTAACTATAAGATAAGGCCAGGGACTAATGAAAGTATTTAGAAAATTGGGCAGACTAGATGGGCCGAATGCTTCCTATCTGCCGTCACATTCTATGTTTCTATGTTTCTATGTAATAAGAAGGTATTCCTGTAAGTAAGCTGAGGAACAGTTAAAGACGGTCCCCAGAACCATCCACCTTATTACTTCAAGCTCTAAGTCTGAGCCAGCTTTGTTAAAGGGAAACTCCAGTGCCAGGAAAACAATCCGTTTTCCTGGCACTGCAGGTCCGCTCTCCCTCCCACCTCCCAATCCCCGGTTGCTGAACGGGTGAAAACCCCTTCTGTCACTTACCAGAGGCAGCGACATGTCCCACGTCGCTGCTTCTTCCTCCGCCGCCACTCCTCCTCTGCATTACGTCGGCCGGTGGGCGAGACTGGTCCCACCCACCAGCCGGAGTGACCTAATGCCGCGCATGCGCATTAGAGCTCCCCATAGGAAAGCATTGAAAATGCTTTTCAATGCTTTCCTATGGGGAATTGTGCGACGCTGGAGGTCCTCACACAGTGTGAGGACGTCCAGCTACACTCTAGCACAGAAAATCCACTAGGTGGAGTTAACACTGCAAGGTAATTATTGCAGTTTATAAAAAATCTGCAATAATTACACTTGCAGGGTTAAGAGTAGTGGGAGTTGGTACCCAGACCACTCCAATGGGCAGAAGTGGTCTGGGTGCCTGGAGTGTCCCTTTAAGTGGCTCAGAATCATGTAAATGGGGCCTTGTGTGTGTATATTTCAATTTTAACACAAACTATATTACCCTATAGTTGTTTTTCTTTTTTAATCCACAGATCCAATTCTTATTTATCAGACTGTGGTAACCTCATCCTTATATTTTTCTCTTATTATATTTTTCTTTTGTTTTTATTTCATTTTATCTTATCTGTATTTTTATTTCATAATTATTTTTATTTCTCTGTTTTTCATTTATTTATATTCATTTATTTATCTATTTATTTTATTTTTGTATTTTTTTTCATTCACTTTTTCGTTCATCTTTATGGTTATTATGTAGGATCCCTATACATGTGTGCAGTACTTCCATTTGTATTTTCTTATATGTATTGTAATTACAATGAGTGGAAATAAGATTCAGTAATTTTAAGTATCTTTACATTTGAAATGTCTAAGTAAGTTCTTCTAACTGCAATTAGATCTATGTAGTGTACATACTAAGCACATGATAGTTCTATGTGTGGAGTATTTCTAATAGATATCTCTCGTGCTAGTTTGAGTTAACATATTGGCATTATAAAGCTCCGTTTTCCTTTTTTTGCTGTTCAAGATATTTGAACGACATAGGCCACCATTAGTAACATTCTGCCCATGAGATTTAGGTAAAACGCAACCAAGCTGTGAAATGAGACGCACGCGTCATTAAAAGACGCCGACCAAAGCCGCCACACTGGAAGTGACACACTCACACTGCCGAAAACCAAGAACCAAGAAAGACCGGGAAATTCAATCATGGACAGCTGGGAACAATCACACAACGCCGATTGGACCACCAATGAGAAGAATATCGCCCATATTAAAAATGGAGAGGAGGATTATATTGCTTTTTTGCTTGGATTACTTGTTTTTATTGCTGCTACTATTACATTTGTGTAGCTTTACATACCAGGGGGTCCCTGAGGAAGTCCTTATAGGACGAAACGCGTAGGACCTGGTGTTATAGTAATTGTATCCGGTGTTTTTATATTGTTTAACAATAAAACAAACAAAAAGTTTTCACACCTATCCTGAGTTCAGTTCCAGTATCAGTGGAGGAAAGGAAGTGGATTTGGCCCCCCATAGATAGGGGGAGACACTCTTGGGCAAGCTATTTTCATCCTTTTTGTGCGTTTTATCCATTATGCGCACTTACATATTGATATACAGTATCACACTATTACTTGTTTTTATATTGTAGATCTACAGCAATTTTCTCCATATTGTTTGCATCTATGTGGTAATCATTTGTTGTGTGCTCTCACCATTTTTTTCATTTAAGTATTTAAACTGGACAACAATATATTACAGAAATTATAATAATCATAATTCTGCAGATGATAATGGAATATAGTACTTTGCTTTACTTACTGTGTTTAAGTAGATGTGAGTAGTTTATACTGCTTACTGTGTACATGGAGACTAGGAACAATCGGAATTGTTTGAATTCCACAGACACTGCCCTGACCAAAGTGACTAAAGACTCATGACAGCAAAATATAAAGCCCATTATTTGCTATTTATTCTTCTTGATTCTTCCACTAATTTCAATGCTGGTGAACACCCACTTCTCCTCCTCACCCTACAGAACCTTGGCTTTATTCACAATACTCTTTCCCGGTTCTGTCCTACTTCGCTAAACACGCTTTCAGTGTCTTCTTCCCTGGTTTCTCCTCCCCTCCAATAGTTCTGTCAAAGTTCCTTAAGGCTCTGTACTGTGACCACTTCTTTCTCAATTTATATTGCCTCTCTTGGTGATCTAATATCATAATATGTCTTTCAAAATCGCCTGTACACAGAAGATACCCAGATTTTCCTTTCCTCATCTGATCTTTCCCCATCTGCTGGATCGTGTCATTGATTGTCTTTCCTCTGTTTCTCACTGGAAGACTTTATGATTCCAAAATGTCTACCTATCCAAGAATTAACTCCTTTCCTCCCTCTAAAGGTACGTCTGTGTCTGTTTCCCCTGAGTTTGTCAGGATTAGCTATACGCAACACTCAGTATTTAAGCTAACAAATACAAATAAAATAAAATTGAATACTAAAACGTATTACTGGGCCTTAGAATGGCTGGACTCAACATTACTTACAACAGTATTAGACAAACTGAGTTCACGGAGACAGAAAGTATGAAAATAAGACACGACAAGATTTAGGGATATAGAATGGAGAATAGTTATTAAAAAAGCCAAGGACAAATAATAAGTGTTAAAATAACAGGAATGCGCTCTCAGATAACATCTAAGAAAAACCATGATAGGGATCTGAGTGATCGAATTTGAGCTTAAATAGCTGCTGGGGACATGGGCTGCAGGGTATGACAGGGGAACATGGGGCTGCTGGGTGTGAGAGAGGGACATGGGGCTGCTGGGTGTGACAGTGAGCATGGGCTGCAGGGCAAGTGAGGGGGACATAGTATGCACGATGTGACAGGGGCACCTAGGGCTGCAGGGTGTGTGACAGGGGACATTGACATTCTGTTGCACCCATTTTGTTATAGATGGCTTCTGGCTGGGCAACCTGTGTCTAAGCTTTGATAACCAAGTTGACTTTTCCAACTTGATTTGTCTCAGTGATTTGAAGATTTTTACACAAAGTTGAGTCAGGTTTTGTGAAATAAAAAGTAATGTGGACTCTTACATTGACTGACTCTAAATCTGTTTTTTTTTTCAGTACATCAAGGGCAACAGCTCTCCCCTTCAACAATGTTTGCTATGTAACTGGCAGCACAGCTGGGTTTATTCACTAAACATTATAATATGGTGAATGTAAAACTGAATTGAAAAAAGCAGCAGTTAATAGCCAGGCTAAACCTGAGGTACAGAGTATTCTAAACAACCTATTGTTTCCGAAATTCTGTTTCTAATTTTCAATGATTCAGTGTTTAGGAAAAAGAAAAAACAATTTTGCTTTAAATTTGTATAATTTATTAGCCATGTATCTTTATTACACATGTATAGCACTGTATGCAATTTTTAATCCAACATGTAATTATTACATTATTTTACATAGTAAATAATGTAAAACTTCAGCTCACACTGGTGAGAAAACACGATTTAAGCAAAATGTGCAGCTAAACACAGCATCTCTCTAACGCCCTTCTCAGTTTCCCACAAGGATTTGTGGTTCATTCTTCATCCTACTTCTTTTAACTATTTCTTATGTTTCTATGAAAGGGTTTGTTACATGGTCAGAGGTTCTGTCTTCAGCAATGCCCACACAGAATCTGATATTCGTGCAGTTTAAAAAAAAAAAAACCAAAAAACCCAACTCTATGGTAAATAATAGAGAGAAAGGGGAAAAGTAAGTTTTTTCCCCCCTTTCTTGTAGTGTTTGGTGTTTCTGGACTAGAGGAGGAGGGATGATGTCATCATGGGAGGGAAGGATGAGTGGTGGTGGGGGGAAGAGGGAAGGGAAAACACTGGCTGGTTTGAGTGACTGGTGTGAAGCAGTATTGTGTTGGCACTGTGTAGAGGCGTGATCTGTCCAGCAGTCTGACAACTGATGCTGGCTATGGAAGCCTGGGCTGAGAGGGACTGGACAGCGACGTCTCAGCATTGCTAAGGCACATCCACAGCTGCTGCTTACACTTGTGCTGTGAGAATTGTGTGATCTGCTTGCTGAAACAAAGATTGCTCTTGTGCTGCTGGCAATCCTACAGCCTGCAAGGCAGGACTGAGAGGAAGACAAGCTTTGGGTTATCTGGCTTGATTTGTGGGCTGGCAACATTGTATCTTTTGAAAGTTTAACATGGCTCTGATTATGGAACCTGTCAGCAAATGGTCTCCCAGTCAAGTAGTGGATTGGATGAAAGGTAAAAAAAAAAAAAAGAAAATCATTGAAATGAACATTCTAACTTATTTAACCTTTTCAACCTTAGGGACATGCAGTTTTATTTTGGTCTCTGGTGGTCTCCCAGCTGCTGTCATTAGGTTCTGCATTTGATTACATTGTAGTTATAGTGGGCATGGATGCCCAGTGCTGTGACTTACTTTATAGGGGAGATGTGAGATTGGTCATTGGAGTTAACGTTCCTTACATTACTTAATTCCCAGCTGTCAGACAGGTGCTTTAGAAGGAGGGCACTCACATGCTGGTGTTGAATTGCCCAGCTAGGGAGGCTGTGCTTTGGTATGTTGGTTTGTGGTGAGAGACCCCACTTCTAAAGTGCTGGGTATGTGAATGAGATGCCTTGTAATCCTTGGGAAGCGCTCAGGGGCTGATGTTATTAACAGTGCATGAAATGTAGCATTTGAGTTGCATGTTGATGCCAGTTGCCTCACAATCTACCCCTGAAGACATTTAGTTAGCTTGATTATGTGTCCAATATTTTGTATCGTTTAAATTTAAGAGAGAGAGAGAGAGTGTGTGTGTGTGTGTTTTTACTGACACTGTATATATATTACACACACACCACACTACACACACGCACACTATTATGCTATATTTTATATGCCAGTTAGATGTTAGTTAGTCAGATGCAAGATTATTGGATGTATTCAGTTTATTTTTTCATAGATATAATAAGCATAAATAAATTTATAAAAAAAAAAAAAAAAAAGTTTGGATCAGAAAATAGGTCACTATCATCATGATGTGCTTTTATTTAGTGTGGAAAAACAGGTTAAATAAAACTTACTGATCTAATTTACATGTGCTATGGGAAGTGTCACTTACTTGCCCTTTTCATATGTAAGTGATGTGTGAATGTTGCTGGGGCTATAAACAGAGGGTTCAAATATGAGGCAGTGGAACATGTACTATTATTATTATGCAAAATCTAGTATGTATGTTTTTCTCGCCATATGTATTAAAAGGGGATATTCTGGATTGATAAATCGAATGCGGTGCTTTGTTGCTTTGAGACGTTGATAAATGACCCTATGTGTGTTTTGCGTGGGTCTGTCCTTTTAACCTGTTCATGTCTAGGCGTAATTTAGCAGGTTCCTGCAGACATTAACTGTACGCGGGGCTTTTTTTTTTTAACTCCATTATGTTTTAACCCTTTAGCAGTATTATAAGGGTTTAACAATCCCTACGTGGATTTGCCATGTAAATGTGTCTTGAATCCTGCATTTGCTGTAAAAGCTATCTTGGTACATCAGTAGCAAATTATTGAAGAAAGATTGTGATGTGAAACTGTTTGCAATTGCAAGGATGTATTTAATGCCTCGTATATGGAAGACGAGCACATAGCTCACTGTATCTGTCTATTGGATTGTTTATTGCAAGAGATCCAGGTGTTCTTAGACTGGAATATGAGGGATCACCTATAAGGCTAAACATGGAATCTTTAAAAGATATGATGCACCGAGTGTTAAATTGTATCATGTTTTTCTAGCACGCTCTATAAAACCAGGAGCTTTCTGTGGTGGGGAACATCTAGAATAGATGGAAATGTTATATATATACCTACATATATTCACTGCTTATGGTTTTGTTTATTGACATTGTATAAATACATTACATGACTAGAATACTCTTAGCAGTAATTGATTTATGTATTTTAATCCTGCCAGTGCCTGATGACTGTGTATAATTATTTCAAAGCCAAGCTTTTTCAAACCATCTAGCACATTTCCTAAAGACTGGCTGAGCATCTTGGGAAATGTAGTTCACAAATATCCAAGGTGGCATGCTTAGCCATCATCCTTTCTAATATCTACCTTTAGTAGTGTGATTAGTGGTCCTCATTTTACCTCAGGAATGCAACCTACAAATAATTCAGAGAGAGCTGTGTTTTAAATATCCTAAATTTAGGAATCTTCCTGTTCTACCACTTGACATCCTGTAAGATAGTAGTGGATTGATGGCTGCTTTGTGCATTTCGTATAAGGAGCTGTATTCTCTTACCAGGATAAACGTTTACTGGGTTTACTGAAAAACAATTCATCCATTGAAGTCTAAGGATAAATTGCTATTCAGTAAGCAGAGTAAACTCTTTCTCTGTTAAGAGAATCCAACACTAAACATTTAGCCCCCTTGCTTTTATTAATAAAATTAGCATGACATTATGAATATTGTTTTTCTGAATTCATGGATACCAACACCACATTAATAGAATGTACCAATACAAACATTTTGCATCTAACCCTTTAAGCACAGTATTGGATCTTATCTTATCTTGCTACATTGACAATGTTCGTTTCTGCCTGTTATGTGTATGTCACAAGCTAGTGTAATCTTTAACATTAACGTACGATTTTGTTTTTAGAAAATATCTTTAAATCTTGGTAGCATGTGTACTAATAAACCTGGGTATTGGCAGAATTCGAAAAATGCAAGTTGTGTGGAAATGAATACTGCTATCCAAGGGTCTTTCTTGTGTTCAAAATTACCTGGGGCATAAGCCCAAAGCAAAACACAATGAATCTTTACCTGACGGGCCACACTAGACCTTTCCAACAACTCCACCCTTTAACTACACCAAGATGACCACTTGATCCATTACAATCAAGCTCCACTACTTCTATTCACTTCTTTTCCTTCACCAGTCTCTTCCCATTATAATTATATTTTTAATCATGAAGTGCCAACAGTTGGACTAACAAAGGAGTTGTTGCAAAAAGACAAGTTGGGTGCACAGGAACAGAAGGTGCTAAGAGCCCTGTTCAAACATAAAGGAGTAGGGTATCATTACATAAGGGTAAGAAGGACTGCTATCAGAATTTGTGTGGTCCATTACACAGCTCAAGGCCTGGGCCTTTGAGTCCGCCCACAGTGGCCACTCTAAGTAGTCTGCCCACAAGGATGCAGTGCATGTGTAGTATGTGTATAAAATGGATGCAGTGTGTATATGGTGGATGCAGATTGTGTGTGTTATGGGTGCAGCGTTGTATAGTGGATATAGAGTGTGTGGATGCAGACTGTGTGTGTGTAAAGTGGATAGTGTTTGTGTGTGTTTGTGTGTATGTAAAGTGGATGTAAAGTGGATGCAGAGTATGTGTGTTTGATGAAGTGTGTGTTTGTGTAATGGATGTAGTGTGTGTTTGTGTAGGGGATGCAGTGTATGTAAACGTATGGGTTAGGATAGGGGTTGTGTTCTGGCGGCAGTAAGCGTTTGTTTTTTAGTATAAATTTTAAATGTAATTTAAAATTTCCTTCCTGCCTCTTACTTGTGCAGAGGGGATACTAAATTCCAAAGTGGTCAAATGGCACAGTGTAGACTCATAGCTTGCATTTATAATGAAGGGGGGCCCCATGTGTTCTGCGTCAGAGTGTTGCGGTGGTAACTCGCTGCAGCTCTCTGAAAGTCGAGAGGACATGCCAAACATAAAATTTGGAGACTCCTTGACCCTCTTCACTATATAAGCAAGCAGTGGCCTGGGGCCCCAGAGGTGTATGTGTGTATATAAATTATATATATATATATATACACTCACCTATCCACCAAAACAGCAACTTCAATGTTGACAGATGTTATTAGTTTTTTTTTTGTTTTTTTTAAACACCTAATCTAGACAAAAATAATGGGGGTTTAGTTACATTATGTGATCATACATTGCATAAGCCTGCAACAACGTCAATGTACCCCATCTTTGGCAGGTCCTACTCTGATAGCCTAATGTCTGCTCTTATGAGATTGACCCACTTACTTGGGGGGAAAATTCCATCTGGGGCTCTCTGCAGTACAAGACTAAATAGTGCCCTCGGATGAGGCACATGTTATTTGGAAGATCTGTGAGTGCACAATCTGCTTATTTGGTATATTGTGAACGTGGGTGGCACCCATGCAAAATTTTATTTGAGTTTCTGTAAGCGATGCTTGTTATATACTGTATATATGCACATTTAGAAAGTGGGGCCCGAAACCCGTACAGCCATGTTGGCTGGACACCCTTATGGCTGCCCTGAGGATAAGAGTAATCTTCATTTTTTATGTAAAAGTTGGATGCTAGAAGATTACAATAAAATCTTATTTGGTACATGACACATAGGAAAGAGGAAGCAAAACGGGTTAGTGAGGTGTGGGGAGGGTGAAAGAATGAAGGTTGTTAACATCTTAATTAATATGTCTTCTTGAGAAGTGAGTATTTAGTAATTTGTTTGAGGAATGCAGATTTAGAGATTCTGAAGGAGAAGGGATGGCCATTTCAAAGGAATGGTGTCACCCTAAAGAAGGTGAAAGGTGTAAGTACGAACAGGGACAGGTGCATGTCTTTGTAGAGTAGACTGGTCTGGATGGGACATGCTTGTTTATTAGTGAGGATGGGTAGATAGGGGCAGTGTTGTGAAATGATTTGTGAATATGGACCAGAATTTTAAAGTAGCTCTCTAAACACCATATTATTAATATTAACCACTACAACCAGTATAAGAATGGTTCCATTACTGAGTAAAGTAGGCGACTGGTGCCTGGTGGACACCAGGCAAGTTCTCAAATAATTCGTAAACTGTTTGACTACTTACACTGGGAGGTGCCAGGACACTACTGACACCACAACAACTACAGCAGGCAGTAGTGGTTATGATACTTTGAATGTTCCTTTAAATTGAACCCTAGGTCTTATGTGAAGCCTTTAAATATAGAGCCGTAATCAATCCATAATGTTCTTGTAGAGCAGCTTGTAAGCCAGTTAATCTATGCATAGTACCCTACCTCCTCACACCAGTGTCACTATGACCCCCTAATCTTTGTCAACATCATTAAGCCCACAGCCCAGTTCCAGTGTTTACATCTTCTTTCCACTGCTTAACCATCTACCTGACACTGCTGCACTCATGCTGCTTGTGGTCTGAGTTGATATGCTGGTATGTGAAAAGAGAGTATCAGATGGATCATTCAGCAAGTTATTAATCCATATCAATCAATTAAATCTACATTAGAATGGCGGAATAATAAAACATTTGTAACCAAAGTTCAGAATTTAAAGAAACACTAAAGCATTTAGTATACAGTCCTGTGTTCCTAACACTTTAGGTCCCTATCCCTATTTAAAAATAGGTCTCCCCCATTTGCCATAAAAAATAATAGCTGCTGTGACAAGACCTGAAGCAAGTAATGTTTTACTGACAAGCAGTTT